TTAAAATAAAAAATATTCTTAAGAATATAACTTTAAAAACTCAAAAAAAAAATACATATATGGTTTTTTTTTTCCTGAAAATAGGCAATGAATACATGATGCATGGTTGGACATGGTGGCAGCGGAATAATTATTATTTTTTAATTATCATATTAAAAGAAAAAGGAAAATGGAGGGAAATTTTGACATGGGTCCCGCTGCTTCAAGTGCTGAGTTTGCGGTGCAGAAGCATCTCCTGGTTTCGATGCTTCCTCACAACCGCTTCGAAAGCGCGTGACGCCACATTATTATTGTTCAAAGAGTTGACGGCGCATTTCACATGGCAGTTAGGGTAGGAGTCTTGAAGGACACGCCCCTTGACTACTTGAGTTTTGTGTTAAAAATTTTAAATTTAAATTATAAAATAGGTGAAAAAAATTAAGGAGGGGGGTGTAATTTGTTATTATGTAACTCAATGTTTCAAAATAAAAATTTAAAAGAGGAAATTGGGAACGTTGTGATACCTTCTCCTCTAAAGAGTCTATAATATAATATATCAAAATGATATAATTATAATATTAAGTAATAGTATTATAAATTTAGAATATAATATTTTGTTATATAATTAATTTTTTTTAATTTATAAATTTATTTATAATATTATATATATTTTATTTAATAATATATTAATTACATCATTTAATGACAAGTTATGATTAAAAAATTTATTTTTTTATTTTAAAATAACAGTTATTTTTTAATTTTTTTTCAAATTAAAGATTTAAGGATAATATTTGTATTTATTTAAAATACTCTTTAAAAAATAAATAAAAGATAAGAAGATACTTTTGTAATTGAATGATTAATTAAAGTAAATAAATAATGATAAGATTAAAAGAAAAAAATTATTTACCTTAAATAAAAAAGAAAAATTATTTTGGAACAAATTTAAAATAAAAAATAACAATTATATTTAAATAAAGAAAATATAATTCTACATAGTATTGTAACTATGTCACTACCATATGTAAGACAATTTGGAGTAGTTATTTAGATGTAGGAAATAATTAATTTAATAATTATTATTTTATTATTTATAATTCAAAATATTTAATTTTTTTCAATTTTTTTTTCAATAGTGTCA